ACGCACCGGATGCAGCATCTCGACTGGTAGGTAGGGAGAAAACCAGTGGCCACTGGCGGCAGAGCTCATCAGGAGCTTACATATAGTAAAACCGCGTTTGTACCGTCCACTGTGATACTGTAGTAGCAATGTTCGATGGGATCGTCGGGCTTGATCAATCATCAATACTTGGCGACTGTCACGTCGCGAAACAGCGCGGCTTTACGGCTTCACGGCCGAGTTGTCCCTAGGGCACCTAGGTAGAGGAAACGTTTTCGTCAAACATACCTAGGTAGCACTCGGCGCGACCAACAGGTACCGTATCCAAGCCCGGGGTTTCTGACCGCAATACTGCCTACCCGGTAGGTATTGGGTGATGCTGTACCGGTAGATCTACCTACTGTGCAGTGTGCGATGTCAGCATCTGTGATTGCAGTACTGCCTACTCACCAGTCACCACCAGGCTGGTAGGTACTACGGGATTACCCACAGCACAGCATTGCATAGTGTAGAATTGCGCGATGATGCGTCGTGGTGCAATGGTGCAACCGCACCGTCCAGTGGGTCGCACTGGTGCTGTCCGGTGGGGATCCTCAGCCTCCAAATGCCCATCCTCCAAATGCCCATCCTCCAAATGCCCATCCTCACCGTAGTGAATGTGACGTGCCCAGTGGCCATTCAGCCTTGGACAGTGCTGAGTGGCCCAAAGCCATACATGCTCCTTCAACTCTTCGAACGGTGGTGGTGGTGTTATCCCGGATGGCAGCGTCCGCATACATATCCTTTGGGTCCGATCAGGAGTCAAATCTAAAGACTCAATACTGCATAACTTAACCTACACACCTGGTCATCGACCCCCGCCGAAGAATCGCGATTGACGGCTTGTGGTTGACATCACAAGTCTTCGGCTCCTCTGGTGACTGCTCATGAACCATCACTCGCCACATCTTTCTTTTCGTCCAGCCCACTGCCCACAGGCTTTCGCTTCCGATTCCGAGGACGAACAGGGAGGCAGGCCGGCGAACATAGGTGAACACACGGGTGGTACCGTGGTAGGGATGAGGAACTGAACTGGTTGAGCTCGCTGCTCATAGGGGTTGGACGGGAAGGGATGAGAACTGGACTAACGGACACCTTCATTCATTCATTTTCTCTTTTCATCCTTCGTTCTTTCTTTGTTTCTCTCTTTGTGTCGGCGGAGGAGGGTTGAGCGGGGATGGTTGGGCGTTGAGCGTGGATGGAAAGTTGGAGAGCTGAGCCCCGGGGGTTGACTCGCGGGGAGGGCTGGGCAGAGAGCAATAGGGAACTGGGATGAATCTGAAATGCTGGAGATTCAGGCCGGACTTCTGGGATACAGTACATGGGTTTGTTTTGTTTGTTCGTTATTTTTGCTCTTGAGTGTACCTAATCATCCTGGATCTTCACGTGGTTCTTGAATCTTCCCTTGACTCTCCGCCAGGCCTTGACATGCATGAAGCCACTACCATCACTCGAACCAAGTTTCCATCAAGTCGAGGTGAGGTGACTTTTTAACTGTAACTATTGGCATGCTTCCGTCGTAAGCTTTACGGTCACCGTGTAGGAGGGCTTCGGAGGGGATGCTGACTCGCTGAGCCCATCAATTTTCTCCCAACGTCTGTCTATTTTTGATCAGCACCGGCCTTCGTAACTTCACTTCCTGGTTGCCCTGTACTCACCATCTAGGGTCCACCCAGATCTCGCCAACAACTCAGATCCAGATCCCGGTTGCGGGCGACGGTGACGGTCAAAAAGTTGCCGCTACCTACAAGCTTCATTCGAGCCATCAAGCCGGCACAGCAGCGGCGAGTGATTTCAGATACCCAGCTCCCAGTACCAAGTTACTAAACCGTTTCGGCGTCGTCCACCAGCACGACTTACCAAGCCGACCGTGAACGACCCACCCGCAACCTCTAGCCTCCAGGTTCGATCATACCGGTAGCATTCGGATACCCGCAGATCGGGCGGTACGTTCGCTGGAAAGCCACCCCGTAGGAACGAACAAGTGGTCATCTTGACTGTCCCGGCCGACTGGCGCGCGCGTGTTCGCCGTCGTCGTCGAGGATGCAGCTGCACCAACACCACCCTCGTCCACTGCGATGCGTGCATGCGTGCCGGTCGATAGAACGGAACACCCCACAGCGCACCTGTAGATATGCTATCGCCATCACCGCGATCGGTTAGTGGTAGCTGCATCTGCTCTGGTTACAGGTTACTCGGTAGGTAAGTCGTGCGCCTGCTGAGCTAGCTGCGCGGCTGGGGAGATGGCTGCTTTTAAGTAAGTAATCCTAATCAAGTCAGCAAGCAAGCAAGACATCAGTTTGATCCCATCCGGAAAGCTGAATTCATTGTGGTTACACCCCGGAACGGAGCTGAGAACTTGTGATGGAGACGGGAATGACGAGGTGACCACGAGCCCAGCGGGTATGCATAGGAAGCCGATTGGTAGACGCCAGAAAGCCCTCATGTGAGAGTACTAGTGCCCGCCTTTCCCTCCGTTAAAGAACCGAGGGGTATTCCTGCTCTTGACGGCGCTGAAATTTTGGCTCCCTATCGGATACCTATCGATGGTGATAGCTGGCCTGAGAAACGGTGGCGATGTTAGCTCTTTGGGCCTCGAAGTTGACCGTGGAGTGGCCGCAGTAGGTGTCCGCTTTTTATGCCTTAGCGAATACTAATTGTAGGATGTAGCGACCTCGTGCAGTGGCCGGCAAGTTCATGCGTAAGAGGCCGCCATCGAGCGTGGCTGGCATTGACACGTGCACGTGATGGACCTGTGATTCGAGTTGCCGAGCTCTGGGGCGAGCAGCAGCATGAGACATCACCCGCGTAGATCAAACTCAGGTAGGTAGAGCACGTGAAATCACCGCCGGCGCCATCATGTGAAGAATTACGAAGTCTTCATTCCCAGAACCGAAGCAGCCATCGCAACAAGCTTGCCTTTCTCCGCATGCCTACCACACAAGTATAGATCACATCTAAGCAACTACCGTAATGTGCACAGGAAGGACGAAGTTTTTTACGAAATTGCGCCCCCAGGAAAAACACAGAACGAGAAATGTGACTGATGCCTTTTGAACTACCTATTCCGGCCCCAAAGCAACCCTTTACTCCTTCCTCATCGAAGAAGCGCGACGCTTCTTCATTCGGTGCGCTTGCTCTTCTCCTCGGCGACACGCTTGGCAAGAAGCTGGGTGTACTCGTTCTGCGATGGTGGGTTAGCTTAATGGTCATTGCCAGCATAGACGAAAGCGGAAACTTACGGCAGCATCCTTGGCGGCCTCAGCCCTTCTCCTCTTCAGGGCAACCCTGTGGCGCTTGTGCTGCAGACGCTGGGGGTGACCAGTCTCTGGATCTTGGCAGCCTTGGTGTATGCCTTCTTGCCCTCACCCTTGGGCTGAACCTCACGGCGGATGACGTACTTGCGAACCTGCAGCAGCAAAATCGTCAGCTCTCGAACCACAGTAGGCGTTGATTGCGGGTCAAGCGTACATCATCGTCCTTGGTGAGTCCGAAGAACTTGCGGATCTTGGTGGCCCTCTTGGGACCGAGCCTCTTGGGGTGGGTGGTGTCGGTAAGACCGGCGATGTCGTTCTCACCCTGCTTGACAACGACGAGGGAGAGGACAGCCAAGTCGGAACCGACGATGCATCCACGGACGGACTTCCTCTTGCGCTCACCGGTGCGGCGAGGGCGGTAGCAGGAGGTACCCTTGGAGAGCAGGAGCTTGACACGGGTGGGCAGCAGGACACCCTGCTTCATGGGGAAACCCTGCTTGTCGTTTCCACCGGTGATCTTGAAAACGTAGCCCTTGAACTCATCACCGACGGAGTCGCCGGGAACCTCCTGACCCATACGCTTCTCGTAGAACACACGGACGCGGCGTTCATCGTCGATCTCGATGAGCTTCTGGGAGCCGTTGGCGGGGGTAGCTGTGGACCGAGGAGAAAGACCGTTAGCCGGGAACTCTTTCTCGATTTTTCTTTCTGCCAATCGCTTTCGAGCGTCGGTTGTCCCTCATCATCCAATCATCCCTCGTCATCCCGTCATCGCAAAATCCTCCTCTTCACGGTCGTAGCTCCCAATTTCCTCCAGTTCCTCCGCGTAGACCAGACGAGTACCGAGCGGATGAAGACAACGGGGCGCGAGATTTCAGAGTAGAGTGGTGGCTGAGAACTTACGCCTGCGTGACATAATCGTTAGCCCAGCAGCTCTCGCCCACCACTTCACGCGAGCAGAAAAACACGTACGATATTCAACTTCATGATGGCGGCGACTTTTCGGAGGTCGTAAAACTGTCAAGTCGGTGCGCACGGGGAGGGACGGGGGGCAGGGCGGGGCCGGATTGTCGTTGGGGTCGTGCGGAATTGTCGATATTGGTGTGTGGTTGTTGGAATTGGTGTGTGGAGTTTCCCGGCGAGTGCGCTGTGCGGGTTTGCTGGGGACTGCGTTTTTGGCGGCTCAAGCTAGGGCAACTTGTGTGGGCTTGGCACACCACCAACGACAGACAAAACTTTCACAGCATCGACAAGCACTCAGAACGCAATTCTTTTTTTAAATTTTGGTAGAGGGGGTTGAACACTTCTACCAGCTACATGGTTGCAAAAATCAGTGGATCTCGTGCGACCGTTCTGTACTCTTTTTGTCTTTCGAGATGGTGCAGTAGGAGTGTGACGGCTGGTCCCACTTCGGGGAGGGGAACACCATGCGCATGCTCAGTTTTACTCGTAGGCAGTCTACTGGCGATGATCGATGTTTTGCCCTGAACGGGACGAACGTAACGCCGTGTCCTTTTCACCATGCGAGCAGGCTTTAAAGCTCGGCTGGCGTTGGACTCTGCTTGCCGTAGAGCGTGATCACTGGCTGACATACAGTGATGGAAATCGAAGCATCTCTTCTCGGGTTCTACATGTGTGGATGGCGCATGTCGTCGAAGCGGAGATATAAACACAAAAGGCGTCAGGGTTGGACAGCAGTATAAAGTCACAGAGTACAAGGCTCAGAATGTTTCACTACCGTAATATTTGAGTTATTGCAGTGTGATTTCGCATCTAACGCCCAAATCCAGACCCAGAAATGTAGAAAAAGACACCATCTTATTTTTGCACACGGAGTTGTTTGGATTATCATTGCGGAATACTCGTAATCCCCACATGAAAGTGTCCATCCAGTACCAAAGCCACCCCGACGCCAACCCCAGCAAAAAAACAAGATTAACGGTAAGACTCTGTGTACGGATTCTGTCAGCAGCCGTCCATTGGCGAGACCGGGTATGACGAGGATAGACGTACTCTGGTACCTGGCACGGGCACCGGGACCACCGAACTTCTTGGGTTCGCAACGGCGGTTGTCGGCAACAAGCAGGGTGCGGTCGTACTGGACGAGCAGCTGCTTGATGTGGTTCTTGGAGTGCTCATCGACGAAACTTCTGGTAGTACGCGACGATGCTCTGGCGATAGCCTGACGGATAGCGTAGACCTGCGAAGTGTGTACTCCTCCAGTCACGCGAACGCGGATGTCGACATTCGCAAAGTTCTCGAGACAACAATCAGGAGGGGCTCGTACACCTTGAAGCGGAGAACCTACGGCTTCACGAGGTGCAGAGGCTGTCCGTTGACCTTGACAAGGCCCTTGCCGGCCTTGCAGTGGGCGACCGCAGTAGCTGATCAACAACTATCGTCAGCCGTCTGTTGTCCATTCCGTTCCCATCGCTTCATCCATTCCCATGTTCCCCATCCTCTCATTCCGAGCTATCCACCGTCTCCCCCATACACTATAGCATCCTCCTCTTTCGAAAATTGTAGTCCCCCCATTCTTCGAAATCGCGAAATCGGGGGAGAAAGCTTGTTGAAAACATACCAGTCTTCTTCTTGCCGAAGCACTGGACGGATTGAACGGGGGCGTCGCCTGCCATGTTGTGTACTCTCGATCGATTCGGGGTGAAGTCGTTCGGTCGGTCGGTCGAGGGGTGGCGGTAGGTGTCGGGGGGGCGTGCTGTCGTTGGAGATTTTCGGATCGGTTCGCGTCAATTGCCAGACTCTGCCGCAATTGTGGGGGGTGCGGCGTGCGAGCGCTTGTGTGTGTGGGCATTTTTCACTTGAGCCGCATGGGACTGTGAAAATAGGGATTGTGTGGAGCTTAGCGATGAGCGACGTCATTTACCGGCGACTTCTGGGCTTAGTACGACCCAAACCAACGACAACGACAACGACCAAAAATGCTGTTTCGTTTGGATCGAATTGGAAAGGACAGCTCGGGATCGGACACGAGAAATCCCCATGTACGACGAGATGTATTTCCACGTCTGTATTCCCCGAAACGGGTCCGCACAAGTCGCTGGTTGCGGGTGGGAATCATACACTTGTGCTCTTCCCCGGCGGACGTCGTATTCTAGCGGGACTAAATAGTACGGACCAGTGTGGATTGCCTACTATCAATGGGCGACTCGTTCTCTAAATTTCAGCGAGTGCCCCCCTCCCAACCTGACGGTGCTGTTGGGATCACGTCTCAGCTGGCTGGGAGTTCTCGATACTTGTGTCGACTACGGGTGCGATATTCGCTTGCGGTCCGGGACCAAAGGCGAGCTTGGCCTGGGCGACAATGTCACCAGCTGCGAGCTCACACGCATGGAGCCCTTCTTGACCGGAGCTGCAATGATAGCTTTTGAGCTCGGGCATGGCACACTCGATCGCCGTCATGGACAACGGCGAGGTGTGGGGATGGGTGCAGGCAGGAAGGGGCAGCTTGGACATCCAATGGAGAAGACTGTCGGTATACCGCGCTGCGTGCAGATGGGTATGCAGTTGCAGCGGCAGGGTGTGGACGTGAGTTCACCTTCGTCATGAGCGCAACAGGAGCAAGGCATGCGATGCTGGGGGGCAAAGGAAGATTCAGGCTTGAGGAGGACACGCCGGAGCAGGGAGAGATGCGAGGCTGGAGGCAAGTCGGAGCTGCATGGGGGAGCGTGTTGGTGCTGAAGGCGGATGGTACGGTGAAAGGATGGGGGAGGAACGACAAGGGACAACTTCCACCCAAGGGGCTGCAGGGTGTGCAGGAGATGGCAGTGGGCAGTGAGCATGGGCTTGCCGTCGTGGGAGGGAAGGTGGTGACATGGGGCTGGGGTGAGCATGGGAACTGTGGTCTCGATCGCAGCCAGAACGGCGGCGATGTGATCGGTGGGGTTCATGTAGTCGAGGTTCATGGAACGGCCAAGAGGGTATGGGCTGTGCTACGAGCTGGGCGTGGACTGAGTAGAGTAGACCATCCAATGTACTGGCACCTAGGCTTTTCTAGCTGCTCTGGCATGAACTGATTGCTCTCCCTTGTGCTTTGATGTCGTTTGGCCACCGGTCGATGTCGGACATGTTTGATGGTGCACGTCGATGAGCCTTGCATCGAGTAGGATGGGATGGAACGGGTGGAGTGAGTGTCTCAATGCATTTCGGTCGACGTGGTCAGCTTTTTCCACTCATGCACACTGTCTAAACCGCTCGCTGCTGCGGGCCTTGATGGATCAAGGCTGTTCTATCATTTCGCCGATGATGCGAAGCATGTGTAAACAGTGAGATCAGCTAGCAGGCAGACACAAAAAAAACCTGTTTCTAATGCCGGAAGTGACGATGGTTCAGCTACACCGCATCACGGGGTTGTAAAGTAAACAAACACGATCGGTTCATCGTGTTAAAGCAGCACAGATCGGTCATGTATGAATGCATAGATCCAAGGGTACATTCGAGATTGTCCGTACCGAACAACGCTGTCGCAATCAGACCCTTCATACATGAAGGCATGAACGCATCAAATGTATCAAAACAAAGTCAATGTCGCCTCTGCCCAATGTAGAAAATGTCGGCCAAATATTGCCGCTCGATCCACATAAATTCAGTCCTTCCGTCCCCGACTCTGTCTCTTCCTTCAACCTCACTCTTTCTTCGAAATCACCCACCATCTTCATCATCCTTCAATTCGTTGTCGGGATACCTCTTCACATTCGTTCATCTACTTCCTCCTCTTCCGTCCGCCTTCCTTTCCCTCTTTCTCTTCAATCTCATTCCATTTCTCCTCACTCTCACTCTTGACAATCTTTCTTCAACAATCTCCCCTCCTCTAATACCAACTCAGCTTCGCCCATACAGCGTTCCGATGCTACTCAAGAGTCCAGCTCTGCTGGCAATGGCCTTTTTGGCTGTTGCCGACGGCTTCCCTCGGTATGTCCCACTTCCATCTACTATTTTATTCTTCAGCCCTATTCAGAGTAGTGGTCTCTTGCCACCCCCTCGTACAATATTTTTAGCTTCGTCCTTACTGTTTTCGATTCCCATTCGCATCATTTTTCATGATGCATACTCTGCTTGGCCAGTGACCGCACTACTGTCTAATACGCTGTCTTCATTTTTTTGCACTCTTGTCATCGTATCCTTTACCGAGACTGTGCTGATATTTTTATTCAGGATTAGGCCCGGCGGTGCAGGCTTTCCTAAGGTCACCACTACCGTCACCGAGACTTTCACGTCGGTTTACGTCGTAACTTGTGCTCCGACTCTTGGTGGCTACTGGGACTTCAAGCTTCCAGGCGTCAAGCCCGCGAAGAGAGACGTCAAAGACGACGATGATCCCATCTCTTGGCCTCGGTGAGTTTTTACTTGACTACTTGAGTTGAAAGCAACAATCACTTACGAGTGATAATGTAGTACTCTTACGGTCACCAAGACGAAATCCACGACGATCACCGAGTCCCTCTCTCGGAGTTGCCCTATCACGGATGGACCTACCGAGACGCCGACTCCCACGTTGACTCCGTCCGACACCGTTGAGCCCTCCGAGACTGCTACTCCCTCCGAGACCGCGACCCCCTCCGAGACTGCTACTCCCTCCGAGACGGTTGAGCCTTCCGCGACTGCTACTCCCTCCGAGACTGCTACTCCCTCCGAGACTGCTACTCCCTCCGAGACCGCGACCCCTCCGAGACGGTTGAGCCTTCCGAGACTGCTACTCCCTCCGAGACTGCTACTCCCTCCGAGACGGTTGAGCCTTCCGAGACTGCTACTCCCTCCGAGACTGCTACTCCCTCCGAGACTGCTACTCCCTCCGAGACCGCGACCCCCTCCGAGACGGTTGAGCCTTCCGAGACTGCTACTCCCTCCGAGACTGCTACTCCCTCCGAGACTGTTGAGCCTTCCGCGACTGCTACTCCCTCCGAGACTGCGACCCCTTCCGAGACGGTTGAGCCTTCCGCGACTGTGACCCCCTCCGAGACGATTGAGCCTTCCGAGACTGCTACTCCCTCCGAGACCGCGACCCCCTCCGAGACTGTTGAGCCTTCCGAGACTGCTACTCCCTCTGAGACTGTTGAGCCTTCCGAGACTGCTACTCCCTCCGAGACTGTTGAGCCTTCCGCGACTGCTACTCCCTCCGAGACGGTTGAGCCTTCCGCGACTGCGACCCCCTCCGAGACTGCTACTCCCTCCGAGACGGTTGAGCCTTCCGCGACTGCGACCCCTCCGAGACTGCTACTCCCTCCGAGACTGCTACTCCCTCCGAGACTGCGACCCCTTCCGAGACGGTTGAGCCTTCCGCGACTGTGACCCCCTCCGAGACGGTTGAGCCTTCCGCGACTGCTACTCCCTCCGAGAGACTGTGTGAGCCTTCCGAGACTGCTACTCCCTCCGAGAGTTCCCTCGCGAGCTTCCTCTGACTACCCTTCCGAGACGGTTGAGCCTTCCGAGACTGCTACTCCCTCCGAGACGGTTGAGCCTTCCGCGACTGCTACTCCCTCCGCGACTGTGACCCCCTCCGAGACGATTGAGCCTTCCGAGACGGCTACTCCCTCCGAGCCGCGACCCCTCCGAGACTGTTGAGCCTTCCGAGACTGCTACTCCCTCTGAGACTGTTGAGCCTTCCGAGACTGCTACTCCCTCCGAGACTGTTGAGCCTTCCGAGACTGCTACTCCCTCCGAGACTGCGACCCCCTCCAAGACTGTTGAGCCTTCCGCGACTGACCCCCTCCGAGACTGTTGAGCCTTCCGAGACTGCTACTCCCTCCGAGACTGCTACTCCCTCCGAGACTGCGACCCCCTCCGAGACTGTTGAGCCTTCCGAGACTGCTACCCCTCCGAGACTGCCCTCCGAGACTGCTACTCCCTCCGAGACGTTGAGCCTTCCGCGACTGCTACTCTCCGAGACTGTTGAGCCTTCCGGACTGCTACTCCCTCCGACACGGTTGAGCTTCCGCGACTGCGACCCCTCCGAGACTGTTAGCCTTCCGGACTGCGTCCTCCGCGACTGCTACTCCCTCCGAGACGGTTGGCTTCTGAGACCGCAACCCATCCGAGACTGCGACCCCTCCGAGACTCTACTCCTTCTGAAACTTCGTCGAAACTGAAGGACCTTCTGTGACCCCTTCTCCCACAGCTACACAATCCGTCATTTCCCCTCACGGACATTCCACTTCCACAGAAAATGTTTCTTCGACTGACACGCCGTCTTCCACGGAGACTGGTATCCCCACAGAGACTTTCTCCAGAGTGCCCGTTTGGATACAAGCCTGATGTTCTGATTGTAAGTTCTCGCCCACCTTGCAGCGATATGTGTTATTGACTTGTTTAGTTCGATGACTTCGCCACCACCGAGGAGCCAGTGATTTCTCCCCCACCCCGTTCGAGTACAAGAACTTCACCTTCGACGACGGATGGTTGGTTTCCAGCTGCTATCGCTCTAACACATGGCTAATGACTTTACTCGCAGGCAACTCCTAAACTGCAACCAGTTGGACTACTATCTGGACCAGACTTGCAGCCAGGATACTATCGAGGGTGCTCAGTATCTCTCTCCTTCATTCTCGCATCAGCAGCAACAAGCCAACTTCCGTCGCATCACGTTTGACATCGAGGGAGACACCACTTCATTTGTTCTCAAGTCGTTCAAGGTTTCCACCAAGCCTATCGGCAGTATCTCCAACAACGACTATGCTGGCATTGTCTACTGCGCCTGGACCGTCGAGGACCAGTACTACGTTGGATATCCGAGCGTCTGCGGTGACATCAATCTCAGCGGCCCTCAACCGTTCCAGCAACTGGTGGAACTCAATTGGAGCAATGTCGCATACGTCGCTTTTGCCGGTGTTCAGAAACTACAAGAAGCCTCCGACCTACAAGGAAGTTGCGAGCGCCTCCAAGGGTGCTAAGCCCGTCGAGTTCCAGATTGACGACATTCGTGTTTGCGTCCCGGATGATGATGTTTAGATTTTCATTGATTTTCGCGTTCGATGTTTGTGATGTTTCTATATGATTCCGGATGTGGGGTTCTCGGAGTGGTAGTAGGTGGTGGATTTGTTCATGCAATTAGTGTTTTTTTACGCCAAAAGCATTGCTTTTACTGTGTAATTCTGTGTTTGAAAAGTTTGTGTAATGATACGAATGATTGGTGCTTTTGCACAAATGTTTTGTCAAGCGACTGGATTTCGATCACGTAGTGTTGCCATCGGGGAGTCGCTTCAATCTGAAGGTTATCTTCCATAGAGATTCCGCGGACAGGGTGAACCGGAGCCTAGAAGCATCTATGGATCATCAGAATTGCGGAAATATATCCATAGAGAAGTAAAGTTCATAGGGCCAGAGTTCGTTGGGGTGGGAAGGTCTTCTGTGTACTTTCGCATTCTCCATACACTAGCCGAGAGCTACTTTTGACTCCTCAACTCTCCATTCACACCTCCTCTACTTTCACAACTGTTTATAACCCTCCACTCGCACCACCTCCTCTACTTTCGCAACTACCCCCACTCGACCCACAACTCCTCCTCTACTTTCACAGCTACACGCAACACCAGCCACACCTCACCTACTACCTAGACAGCCAACGAAACATCATCAGAGACGAAGACAATCGCCCCCCCGCCGCCACAGCAGCAGCACGCGCACCTCGACGCGCATCCAGAAGAACAAGAACAAGAAGGCGGCCAGCGCGATTATCGCCAGCGCAATCCCTACCACCGCCATCCCCGTTCCCCCCGCAAAGCGCTTCGTCGGGCCCCTCCCCCTCGACCCCATGAGCCCCGACGCAAAGCTATTTCGTGCTGGCTGTGCTGGCGGTGCTGGCATCAGCATGGTGATCTGCTTCAAGATCAAGAGTAAGGCACTTGATGGTGCGGACTTCCTCCCCCCTCCCCCCCCTCCGCCCGCCACCGTGGAGCCCGGCTGACAGTCAGCGCAGCCGCCCTCGCGAAGAAGATGAGCCTCCTGGAGCACCCGGATCGTCCCGGGATGTTGATCCGTGGTGGCGACGACTCCGTTGAGGCTCACGATGTGAGCGGGAGCTCAAAGAGATGAGGAAGCGGGCGGTGGAGCAGCTCGGGGTGGGGAGAGCGCGAGAGGGTGGCGAAGAGGTTGGGGGATATGCTCCTTGCTGAGTCCTGATGGCCTACTTCATCGACCAGTTTCAGATGCCTGAAGCCTGAAGGCATACGAAGAAGAAGACAACTAACTACTAGACTCTTGAGGACTAAGCTCACGGAGCTGAAGAGATCAAGAGATCAAGAGGCGGAGGAGAAGCAGTGGAGAATGGAGGATGGCCTGGCGGGAGAGGGTGGTTAATTGGGACCCTCAGTAACCAGTTTGGCCTGGAAGTTGGGATCCACGGTGATGGACTCTGGAGTATATGCTATTGAGAATTTTTTTAGAAAATGTTTCTTTACACTTCACTATTCTTCTAGCTTTTTCTTCATGTTGCGGTGTTGCAAATGTAGCCTGTCGGCATCGGAATGATCACGGGCAGCGGCTGGGCCCCACTGCGGGGCCTTGTTAGCATTTAGACTTGTCTCTCTGGTGTGGGGTTTATCGTTATGTGCCCGGTGGCGAGAATATCATCATGTCTTGAGTTTATTTTGACCACGGGGTGGTGAAGGGGGGGGGGAGTCTAGGTCTGTGGGGATGTATAAACGTTAAAATAGTAGAATGGAAAACTTATTTGATGCTTTTTTTGGTGTATTATTACATTATGTAATGCTGTTATAGCAAGAACGAGCGTTCAAAGCTGGGGGTCGAAACTGTCCTTCAGTCTCATCCACTAGAAGATGCGAGAAAGCAACTCAAGTGCGCCGGACAGTGGACACATCCCATTCCGTCACATGATATCACTCTGCTCAGCATTCCCACTGCAAAAACGTGAGTTTTACGGCTGTCTGTGGTGCAAACCCGCCATTTTTGGGCTAGTTGAGGGAGTCTTGGGAGACATGGTGAAATCAAAGGCTGCCGGAAAGTTTCGTAGGCCTATACTGTCGGCATCGGAATGATTATGAGCAGCGGCTGGGGCCCCACTGCGGGGCCTTGATACTTGTTAGCATTTGGACTTGTCGCTGCGGGGTTTTATGGTTATGTCCCCGGTGGCGAGAATAGCATCATGCATTGAGTTTATTTCGACCACGGGGATGTTGAGGGGGGTCTAGGTCTTTGCGGATCAGTATAGAGTTAAGTAGTAGAATGGAAAACTTATTTGATGCTTTTTTTAGTGTATTATTACCTTTGGTAATGCTGTTATAGCGAGAACGAGAGTTTACAGCAGTGGGTCGAGTACTGTCTGTTTAAAGTTCAGGCACACTGGAAGATGCGAGAAAGAAATGAAACATAAGCTTGAGTGCGGCGGACAGTGGACACATCGCATCCCATCATGTGATATCACTCTGCTCCGCACACCCACTGCAAGAAAGGGAGTTTTACGGTAGTCTGTGGTGCAAAACCGGCATTGTTGGGCTAGTTAAAGGAGTCTTGGAAGGCATGGTGGAATCATCCACTGCCGGGAAACTTCGTATGGCTATATCCGTCTCGGCCTTCCCCCTCCGTCCGGCGATACCATCTGCGACGAGCATCAAGAGTTCACGACCACCACCACCACCACGACCACCACCACCACCACCACCGCCACCACCCTCACCACCAACCCCGCCCTTGCGATTACGCACAGCAACTCTATATATCGTGCAGACGTGCCTCCCTGCGATACCCTTTCGGCGGTCCTGGCAGATCTAGCGGTAGTTACCGACGACTGCGATAGCATCCTCGCTTTTGAGACTATGTACACACGAAATTGAGTTATGTGGGGAGAGAGAGAGAAAACATCAATTTATTGCCGCATGTAGCCTTACTAGACTATGGCGACCACCAACTTCCCAACCTTTCCTGCTAGCTCCGCGGGGTCGAGAGAAAGCTCTGCCACCATGGCCCGATGCTGCGCCGCTGCCTAACAACTGAGTTATGTGGGGTTGGTGGTTAGGTTAAGCTTTTTAGGAACGATGGCGAACTTCGGGTTGTGTTTCATTACTAAAGTTACATCTAGATAGCTTCTAGTTAGAGTGTGGGTAAGGGTTTTAACTTTTGGCGATGGGATCCGTGGAGACCATATTCCTTTTTCGCTTAGGAATTGACGACCAGCTTGGATGTCGATCACACGGGAGAAGTTTGACTGTTCAAAGCTAAAGACCGTTTTAACGGCAAAGTCTATTCTCCATTCAGCATATAATATTTACATTCCACTCAATGAGAAAACCTAAAATCCAACCTCTTATTCCCCCTATCCTCGGTAATGTTAAGGTACTCTTCCTTCTCTTTCAGACTCATCGCATTCCACAGCGTATCCCTTGTTTTATTCCTCCAGATGTAATAAGCCTTCGCCGCCACGAACAGGACAATGTTGAGGCCGCAGATGCCGATCAGCACGCGGTTGCCTTTGCGGTAGAGGGGCTTGTCGTTTTCGCGGTAGATCTACGAGCTTTGTTAGTGGGGAGTCGGCAGAGAAAGGGAGGTGCGTGAGAAGAGGTAGTTAGGTACGTTTGAGGCAATGATACTGCCCGCCTGAACGGTCATGTTGTAGATTGCACTGCCGACTGTGCGAGTGCGTACCGAGCCAGCGTTGCGAGAGGTTAACGCCACCTGAGTTGTGCCGATCAGTCATCGTTAAATACGGGTGCGGAGGACGGAGTACTTACGATAATAGCATGGATGTAAACATGCCCGACGATGAATGTGCACGCGGCATAGCGTCCCCACACTGGCGCGGCGGCGGGAAGCGTGGCGAGCACTGCGAGTGGTATCAACAGCCAAACCTGGCCGACGACGCCGAGCAGTAACCGTTGGTTGATTCGTTCCGAGAGCCAGGTGATAATGAGGAGGACGATGATGAAGATGCATTGTGCCGGGATCGTGAGTAGGTTGGTTTCTAGAGTGCCGAACCCGAGTGAGCGTAGGGTCAGTGTGAGGTAGCTGGTCATGGGCGCAGAAGGAATGGTCCAGGTAAGGCCGATCAGATAAATTGGCCCTGGATCAAGTCAGCAAATAGCCTGCGGCGTCTAGGTGGGAGAAGAGAAGCGTACACATATCGTAATCCTTCAGGGACTCCCACAGCAACTTCAGTGTTACCGCTTGGCGATTATGCATATCACCTTTACTAGGATCATCCCGCAGAATCCGATTGACGAGTATCACCTCCTCGCGCTCACTAAACCAACCATCATTTCCGCGGAGTCCTCCCTTCGTCTGTGTCGGCGACGGCGGCATATAGAACCAACTCAGCAGTCCAATGATGGCCGTGAGCGAGCCCTCCAGCGCAAACAGCCAGCGCCAGCCTTCCATCCCGTTCACTCCGCGTAGACGAAGGATCCCAAAGGCGAGAAATGCCGATACGATTTGGGTGCTCATGTAGGCGGTCCAGAAGAGAGAGAGCCGGAAGGGTAGCTCTTTGGTTTTGTAAAAGTAGGTGAGGTAGAGGATGACATCGGCGATGAAACTAGTTTGGTCAGTAGGGATAAGATCGTGGGGGTGGATGGGGACGACGAACCCTCCTTCAATCAAGCCAAGAAGACATCTGCACACCACAAAGGAGGCATATCCATTCATTTTTGCCTGGCAGCTGGCCACGATACTCCACGAGACCATCTGAATTCTGCAAGAGACGCATCAGCCAGGATCATCCACTGCCTTCGAAGTCGGTATACGTACGGAATCCATCGATCCGGCCCAAGCTTTTTACTGATCAGCTGTGACGGGAGTTCCGCAAACATAAACGAGATGTAAAACACCGTCTGTCCCCAGTTGTACTGATCCGTCGTGAGCCCCAGATCGTCCAGCATGTTATCCGACAGCGCCTGCTGAATATTCCCTCTATCCAATTGCAGGGCGAAGAACATGAGGCAGCACCATGATGCGACCCTATAGTCGATCTTCTCTTGCAGTCAGCAATACGCCACAGAGAATTTGAATAGGTATCCTAACTTTCTTGACGATCCTTTTCTCCTCTACCTCCGTCCATTCCGCTGCCGGATCGTAGCGGTGGGCGCCTTCGTACTCCGCGATCGGCTTGTAGAAGCGATTCAGTGACGTTTCATGGCTGAAGGCGCCGCCGCCGTCGGCACTGGAGTAGGCGGGGATTGAAGTACTGGAGTCTGTGCCGCCGGCTTCCTTGTGCTTGGTGGAGGTTATGCTGGAGGCTGTCGAGTCGA